TTGTTCCTGTTTTTAAAGAAAATAATTTTATCATTTCGCCATTGAGTATCATTTTTGCTGTAAGATTTTCGGAGATTCTCGTTGTCAGGTTCAAGATTTCCACATTCCTAGTTTGCTGAGAATTGAGTGTTGAATTGTGATAAACTCTTTATCTCCACTGATCAATTCATATGTTTTTTTCCTTTAATTTTTTAAGATAGTGGATAATAATAGTAATAGGTTTTCAAATATTGAACCAGCCTTGTATTCCTGAGGTAAAGACAACTTGTTCGTGATGTATTCATTTTTAAAAACATTGTTGGTTTCAGTTTTAATGTTTTCGTTAAGATTTTTGTAATCTCTCTGAGATTGTCTTTAATATTGCTTCCTTATACTGTCCTTGTTTTGGTATCAGGGTGATAATAGCCTCAGAAAATGAGGTGGAGAACGTTTTCTCTTTTTCTGTTCTTTGCAGGTAGTCATACAAGACTAGAATCATTTGTTCCTCAAATGTTTGGTAGAACTCACTTGTAAAACTGTCTAGAAATGTTTTTGCAATGGTTTAATATTCAAAAGGACTATAAAGCCTTCCAAGTTTCCTGATTTTCCAGTCAGTGTTGTGCATTTATATTTTTCTAGGAGTTTATCCATTTTACCTAAATTTATGAACAACACTTTTATTTTTAAGCTACATCTATATTTATGCCCTCTTTTTCATTTTCAGTTTATTTCTGCTTTCTCTCTTTTTTCTCGATTAGTCTTGCCAGTGCTTAGTTAATTTTACTGATCTTTTAAAGAACCAACTTTTTGCTTATGAACAATACTTTTTATTTTTAATCTGCATCTATATTTATGTCCTCTTTTTCATTTTCGGTATTGTGTATTTCTACTTTCTCTCTTTTTTCTTGATTAGTCTTGCCAGTACTTTCTTAATTTTATTGATCTTTTAAAGAATCAGCTTTTGCCTTTTATCATCTTATTTCATCTTTATTTTCTATTACTTCCTGACATCGTTGTTATTGTTTTTGTCTTTCATTTTTGTTGGGTTTATTCAATTATATTTTTCTAAATTCATAGTTTGTGGGCTGTATTTTCTAATATTAGCATCCCAGGCTATAAATTTGGCTTTTGCTGTATCTCACAGGTTTTGAAAAGTAGTATTTTCACTATTTAGTTCTAAATAGTTTCTAATTTCCACTTAGACGTTTTCTAATTTTTCTAGTTATCTTTTTGTCATTGATTGTTTTTTAACTTAGTTGTCTTGTGAGCAGAGCACATGGTCTATATGATGCAAACTCTTTGACCCCACTGCACACACACTGCTTCTTGAGGGCCTTTGCTTTTGCTCTGCCCTCTCGTGGATGGCTCTTCCCCAGATATTTGCAGTGCTCGCTACTTTATTTTGTTCAGGCCTTGACTCGATTATCACTTTCTCAGTGAGGCCTTCCCTAGCCATCTACCAAAAATTTCACACACCCTCTTCTACTTCATATCACTCTTCCCTGCTTTGTTTTTTCTCCTTACCACTTATCACTTTCTAATATTATCCAACATCACGTTCCAAACTGGATCCGGAAGGAAGTACAGTCATGTGCCATCTAAAAACCTTTTGGTCAACAACGGACCACATATACAATGGTGGTCCCGTAAGATTAGTGCCATATAGCCTAAGTGTATAGTTAGCTATACCATCTAGGTTTGTGTAAATACTGTAGGGGAGGAAGAAATTTTCCTCTACCCCTCCAGGTTCTTCTGGCTGGTCAACGGATTAAATGGACATGAGACAGATTAACAGGAGAAAAATGAACAAAAGTGTAACAACATGTGTACATGGGAGAAACCCAGGAAAACTGAGTAACTTGATAAAATGGCCAGAGCCCTCACCTTAAATCCTCAGCTAAAGACAAAAGATGTTGGAGTGGGGAGGGTCAGGGACTTCAAGGGGAAGGAAAGCACTTCACAGGTAGGTGAAAAGGAGCAAATGTTTGGAAAACAGGTGACTGACGACACAAAAAAACAGAAGAACAAAGGGGAGCCCAACAAACAGGCTTTTCTAGGTTCCTCCCTGTGTACCACCTAGTTCATGTTAGGCTAACTAAGGTGATAGCTTGCTTCCTGAGATGGGTTTTTTTATCTGAATTCTTTTAGGCAGTTAAAGGGGAGGTAATAAGAAAAACTTTTGAGTCTTTTGTTTCTTAAAAATAATCAGCCTAAAATAATCTTCATGTTAAATAAGACACATTTTGAGGTGGCAAGTTTTGTTCCCCTTCATTGCACTCTGCTGTTCACACAAGGATGCAATCACCCAAAGCATATCTCAGAACATTTTCCCCTTGTAAGCAATGCATGACTGTAAAGCCACTAAGGGATTTGTGGCTGGGCACAGAGACGAAATGTAAGCTGTAAGAGAAGGGAAAGTTGAGTGTCCGGGCTTTGCCTGCAGTGAGATTGAAAAGTAGTGGTAGTGTGGGTAAGAATGACACAGCTGGGAAGTCAGGGTTGTGGTCAGATAGTGAGGTTTTAATTTAAGACTTAAGAGGTCATTAAATCATTTCTGGGTGATGATGAAGTCCAGGGTAGGGGCAGGGTTACTTAAGTAGAATATGGGTGAAAGTTACAGGAGGAACATGAATAAGATTTTGAAGCTAGGGTTTTGAAGGGTTCTGGACATTGCCCAACATGCTGGTGGGATTTAGAATAAAGAAAAAGATGTGAACCTAATGTCCGAGTGTCCACCTGTTGTTCAGAGCTGCTTGATGGAATAGCCCCTGATTAGCATCCTCTGGCTTCCCAGTAATTGGAGAGGGAATTGGCTGGCTTTCTCTCTTGGTCCCTCTTGCATGGTTCCTTTCTGTGTTCAGGGTTAAGGAGGCCAAGATGGAAGTGGGAAGGTCTGGAGTTGTTTGAGGAAAACAATCTAAATAGAAATCTCGTTGTATATATGTTGAAGAGGGGATGGCTCCTTAGATGCTCAGTTCTTTATGGAATTGAGCAGCCTCTACAGTTAGTCTTGAACTTCAGGATTTCATGGCCTTTTGAGAAAGTAGTACTTTTATTTTTGATGTTGTTCGTTTGCTTGGTTTTTGCCTACCCCCAAGGCAAATATTTTAGGAAGTTGTAATGTCTGTTTTAGTTGAAATCTAATGTTTTACCTAAATGTCTCTACTCTGTATTCTTTGCAACATTTTTATTGCAAGTTGCAAATTTGCAACTTTTTTTGTCTGTTCATTTGCTATCGTGGCTCCATTCATTTTGCTTAGAGAACATTTTCTTCCACTTCTGCAGTTTTTTTTGCGTGTGCATGTCTTTAAAAAGTGCTAACAGCTGACATGACAGCACTTTCATTGGTGCCTGACTTTCCCTTTGTGCTGTGGTCATTTCCAGCTGCCCCTCTGGTATTATTGTAGTGGGAGTTTTTGTTTGTTTGGGTGCTGGTGGTGGTTTCTTTTGTTTTTGAAGCTTTTGAATTGATATGCAGTGAAATCAATAATAGGGTTTCTTTCTTTTTTTTTTTTTTAGGAAGATTGGCCCTGAGCTAACGTCTGTTGCCAGTCTTCCTCTTTTTTTTTTTCTTTTTTCTCCCCAAAGTCCCAGTACATAGTTGTGTATCATAGTTGTAGAGTTGTAGCTCTTCAATATGGGACGCTGCCAAAGCATGGCTTGATGAGCGGTGAGTAGGTCTGTGCCTAGGATCCGAACTGCGGAAACCCTGGCCGCCAAAGCGGACCATGAGAACTTAACTGCTACGCCACCGGGCCAGCCCCTAAATAATAGTTCTTGGTTGTCAGACAGTTAAGAAATTGAGCTGTTTACTGTCTTCTAGGCTTATGGCATAACATTGTACAAAACAGCTTAATTTTTGAAGTGGAGTTTACTGATGCTGATTTGCTTTGTCTTAACTTTGAGGGGGTGATAATATTATTTTTTAAATTATTTCACAGTGTAGAAATAAGAAATAATGTAGAAGTATCGCTTTGTACATTTCTTCTGTGTGTACATTACTTATATACGGTTTCTCTGCCTTAATGTTCAGTGAGACTATTTTATATGTGCATTGGGCTCTTTACAAAGATTCTGCAGGAAGTTCTGTGAGGCGTCTGTGAAGACCAAATATTATCAGAAAACATCGGAAAAAATTGCTGTTCAGTGCCACATTGTTTACAGGGCATCATAAGGAGAGGGAAAATAGAATTGTTTGAAGTCTTTCAGTTATAAATTTGAAATGTAACTCTAGATTTGTTGAATCGAGAGTAGGCATCAGGGCAGGTTTAATGTTTGATTGGAAAGTAGAACTATTTTTTCAAGTTACTTATTTTTAATGACAGATTTTAAGATCCTTGAGTTAAAAGAGTTGTAATTTTACAGTTGGAAGGGACCTTACATGTACTGTCACGACACATATATACTTACATTTTCCTCATGAAAAGTTAGAACCTGAAAAAAATTACTAAACTTTCTGAAAGCAATCCAGAACAAAGGTGAAGAATTATCCATTAACATGAGCAAATGAATAAGTCAGCTGTTTTGCAGCTATTGGTTTTCTGAGCATTAACACATTGGCCTGTGGTTTTAATTGTTGAATCCTTTTTTTTTTTTTTTTAAAGGAAGTTTAGTCTTGAGGGAACATCCGTTGCCATCCCTCCTTTTTTTTCTGAGGAAGACTGGCCCTGAGCTAACATCTGTGCCCGTCTTCCTCTACTTTATATGGGACGCCGCCACAGCATGGCTTGACAAGCGGTGCCTCGGTGCGCGCCCAGGATCCGAACTGGCGAACCCCGGGCCGCTGCAGCGGAGCGTGCGCACTTAACTGCTTGCGCCACCCGGCCGGCCCTTATTTTTTTGTTCAATGCTATCCGTATGTCTTCTTACATTTGAATCTTTATTAACGGTATGTATGCATAGGGGTCCTAAGTAAATAGTTCAGAAGTGCTACTTGGTGGTTTGGAAAACAGTAAATATGAACTTGGTGGGTGATTTACAAGTGTCCTAAAGTGTCTAACATATCTCTCCTTCTCTTTTAGGAAATTGAAAATGGCCCTTCAGCTATGCTAAGTCTATAATGGGAAGTGTCACAGTTCGATATTTCTGTTATGGATGCCTTTTTACATCTGCTACCTGGACGGTTTTGCTTTTTGTTTATTTCAACTTCAGTGAAGTGACTCAGCCACTTAGGAATGTGCCCATCAAGGGGTCTGGGCCCCATGGACCATTCCCCAAAAAATTCTATCCCCGTTTCACTCGAGGCCCAAGTCGAGTATTAGAATCACAGTTCAAAGTAAACAAAATTGATGATGTGATAGATAATAAACATATTGAAGATTCAGAAAAAGGCAATGTGAAATTGTCTTCTGAATTGGGTAAGTGTATTTGATTTTTACTAGTAGTATGTCAAAGTATTTAATCATTAGAAGTTTAATTATTCTTTAAATCATGTGTTGCTCAGGGGATTAGAAATGTATCATTTTTTTCCCCGCTGATTTATTTCATTCATGAACTAGCTGAAGTCTTATGATTTTTGCCCTCAGTGGGGAGTTATATTCTAATTTGTCTCATTCTGACTTCAATATTTTATGACCACTTGGGAGAAACTAATAAGGTCCAGAATAGAAAAAAAAAAATGAAAAATTAAGTGGCTGGAAAGAAAATGGAACCTATGGGGGAAGATTTTAATAGCTAGCATTATTTCATAAGGGAAAGAAATGGTTGAAAGGTTACTTGACTATATTTAACATATTTTGAAAGGCAGAGTTAATTAAAACAGAACATAAACCAGGTTTAGAAATAAGCTGAGATTACTTATATTTGATAAGATTTCTACTCATAAGAATTATTAAGGTGCTGGAATATATTAAATATAGGAGTTTGTAAAATTTTAGTATAAAACAAACTTTTTTTTCTTCAAAAATATATTCTGTTCAATTTGGAAGCAAGAATCTACTGTATATGTCTTTGATTACTATAATACTAGAGTCCTGGTTTTAACAAATTTTAAGAGATAAATGAGCCATTTTGGTTCTTTAAAACTTAAAAAAAAGAACTTTGATCTTGTCATAAAAGCATCAAATAATAAGTAATTTAGGAGCAAAAGCGTATAGTAAGAGATTTTGAGGTCAAAAGATCCATAGAATATAAAGAAAGTGTTAAAACAGATTTTTAAAATTTGATCATAGTTTCAAAGAAATAAAATCAGTTTCTAGGACTTAATGATTTTCTAATCCATGCAGTCGAAAGTATTTAAAATTATATGAGGAAATGGAAGCTAATACTTCAATTTTCATAAAATACACCTTCCAATCTTTTTCAAACAGCCATTTAGACATTTAAAAAGCATTAATGGGAAAATTTCTAGTTTTTTAATTTATTCATAATGATTTTGCTAAAACTTTTATAAAGAAATAACATTGAGTTTACCGTTTTGAATGGACTTTGTATTTCCCTTTGAAAGTAGTAATGAGAGAATTATAAATATTTGAAGTGACAAACCCAAATTGCCTAACTGAAAAACTAAATTCTTTATAAAAGATCCTAAAGAATACACAAAAAAATCGATTACAGCTAATAAATGAATTCAGCAAAGTTGCAGGGTACAAGATCAACACTCAAAAAGCCAGTTGCCTGTATACTAGCAGTACTTACCCAGAGCAATCCACAGATTGAATGCAAACCTTATCAAGATCCCAACAGCCTTTGTTGAAAAGATTCTAAAATTAATATGTAATTGCAAGAACAGCCAAAACAATCTTGAAAAAGAACCCAGTTAGGGGACTCACACTTCCCGATTTCAAAACTTCCTACAAATCTACAGTAATCAAAACAATGTGATACTGGCGTAAGGACAGACGTATAGATCAGTGGATAGACCAAGAGTCCACAAATAAACCCTATGACATCTATGGTCAAGTGACATCTGTGGTCAATTGATTTTCAAAAAGGATGTAAGACCATTTAATGGAGAAAGAATAGTCTTTTCAACAAGTGATGCGGGACAACTAGATACCTACATGCAAAAAAATGAAGTTGGACCCTTATATCATTCAAAAAAAATTAACTCAAAATGGTTCAAAGACCTAAATATAAGAGCTAAAATCATGATCATAGGGATAAATCTTCATGTCCTTCGATTTGGCAATGAGTTCTTAGATATGACACTGAAAGTACAAGCAACAAAAGAAAAAATAGATAAACTGGACTTCATTGAAATTAAAAATTTTTGAACATCAAAGAACACTATCAAGAAAGTGAAAAAAGACAACCCACAGAATTGAAAAAAGTGTTTGCAAACCATATCTCTGATGGGTCCATTATCCAGAATATATAAAGAACTCTTACAACTCAACAATAAAGACAAATAGCCCAATTTAAAAATGGACAAAGGATGTGATAGACATTTTTCCAAAGAAGATATGCAAATGGCCAACAATCACTTGAAAAGATGTTCAACATAATTAGTTATTACAGAAATGCAAACGAAACCACAATGAGATACCATTTCGCATTTGCTAGGATGGTTGTGGTTTTTAAAAAATGGAAAGTAACAAGTGTTTGGTGAGGGTGTGGATAAATTGGAACCCTCATACATTGCTGGTGTGATTGTAAAATGGTGCAGCCACTGTGGAAAACAGTTTGGTGGTTCCTCAGTAAGTTAAACATGGAATTACCATATGACCCAGCAATTCCACCCCTGAATATATACGCAAAAGAATTGCAAACAGGTGTTCAAAACAAAAATTTGTACACAGCTGTTCATAGCGCTATTCTCAATAGACAAAGGTGGAGACAACACAAGATGTCCATCAGCTGATGAAAGGACAAACAAAATGTGGGTGTATCTGTACAGTGGAATATTTCAGGCATAGAAAAGAATGAAGTTATGATATATGCTACAACATAAATGAACCTTGAAAACATTGTGATAAGTGAAAGAAGCAGGACACAAAGGTCAAATATTGTGTAATTACATTTATGTGAAATGTCTAGAATAGGGAAGTTCATAGAGACAGAAAGCAGATTAGTGATTACCAGGGCCTTCGGGAGGGAGGAATGGGCAGTGACTGCTTTAATGGGTACAGAGTTTTTTGAGGGGTGGTGAAAATGTTCTGCAACAAGATAGTTTTGATGGTTGTACAACATCGTAAGTGTACTAAAGGTCACTAATGGTAGATTTTATGTTATGTACATTTTACCAAAATCCAAAAAGTGAAAAAAAAAAACCCATTAAATTTCTTAGAAAACTTAATTTAGAAGGAATTAATATAAATCAATGTAGTAATAGTTAAAAGTATGCTCATTTCTGAATAGGGCATTATCCTTAAACAGGGAAAAGAACCTGTTAAAAAGTACATTTTAGAAAGATTATCAACAACAAATTTAAAATTAAAAATAGATTCTCTTGATTTAATCTACAGTTATAAAATTAATTGAAATAGCTCCTCTGGCATGCTAATTAATTGAAATTTGTCTGTAATTTTATTTGAGCAGGGGAGGGAGAAAAAGTAAGCTAAAGTGATCTTTTTTCCCCAGTTTTATTGAGATACAATTGACTTATATAACATTCTATTAGTTTAAGGTGTACAGCATAATGATTTCGTATTTGTATATATTGTAAAGTGATTACCACAATAGATTTAGTTAACGTCCATCACCTCACATAGTTACGAATGTTTTTTTCTTGTGATGAGAACTTTTAAGATCTATTCTCTTAGCAACTTTCAGATATACAGTACAGTATTGTTAGCTATAGTCACCATGTTGTACATCACATACCCAGAATTTATTTATTTTTTAACTGGAAGTTTGTACGTTTTGACAAACTTCACCCAATCTGCTGCTTGCTGCCCCTCGTGCTGGCCTCTGGCAACCACAGATCTGCTCTGTTTCTATGAGTTTGCTTTTTTTAGATTCTACATATAAGTGAGATCATACAGTATTATAGTATTTGTTTTTCTCTGTCTGACTTATTTCACTTAGCATAATGCCCTCAAGGTCCATCCATGTTGTGGTTAATGGCAAGATTTCCTTCATTTTTATGGCTGAATAATATTTCACTGTATATGTACCCCACATTTTCTTATTCATCTATCAAATGGACATAAACTAATCTTTATGGAATAATTTTTCAAGAGGTCTATATTAGAAAATAATTCTTTCATTATTCAGTATGAGACAGTCCTCTTTGATATTCGTTGAATCAAGGAATATTTATTGAGAATCTAATTCGTACAAGGCACCGTCCTAGGTTCTGGGTATTAAGCAATTTTTGTTTTATTTCTTTTATGTTTTGAACATAACCAAAGTCTCTGCTCTCATGGATTTTCCATTCTCATGTAAAATGCTAATAGAGCTTTGTTCTTTTGTATTTAAAAAAGGATGTCCACCAGCTTTAAAAGTTCCAGAGAGAAAGCATATTAAGAGGTGGGTTTCCCAAAGTGCAACTGGGGGCTCTAGTCGTCTGTGGTCAAATAAATTGGGGAAACACTTCATTCTGTATTCCATCCCCTTACACCTGGATATCCATAAAACATTATTAAAGGGTCAGAGTTGTCCTGCCATAAAAAAAATACCTTTTCGACTTTTAAAATCCGGTGTTTCCCTGCATTATTTGATTGTGAAATCCTTTTTCTTTTTTTTTTTTTTTTCTTTTAAAGATTTTATTT